GAAAAGATATTCCATACAAATGGATACCGAAAAGCAAGCAAGGTTAGCTACTCTCACATAAAATAAAACAGACTTCAAGCCAAAATTAATCAGAAGAAACAATGAAGGTCACTTCATAGTTGGTTAAGGGATGCATCCAAATTAGAAATCAATGACAATAAAAACCAGAAACTATTCTAACACCTGGAGATGAAATAACACTTTTTTTTTTTGTACCTGATATTGAACCCAGGGTGCTTAACCACCGAGCCACACACCCAGCCACTTTTTATATTTTATTAGAGACAGAGACTCACTGAGTTGCTTAGGGCCTCCCTAAATTGCTGAGGCTGGGTTTGAACTTGAAATCCTCCTGCCTCAGCTCCCTGAGTCACTGGGATTATAGGTATGTGCCACTGTGCTTGGTGAAATAATACACTTTTGAATGAAGAATGGGTTACAGAAAAAAATCAGGGGAGGAAATTTAGAAAAATTCTTAGAAACAAAAGAGAATGGAGATACAACATATTAAAATTTCTAGAACAGTATGAAGGCATTTCTAAGAGGAAAGTTTATAGCACTGAGTTCCTACATTTAAAAAATAGATAAATAATCTATCATTATATCTCAAGGCCTTAGGGGAAAAAAGACCAAACTAATATCAAAATGAGCAGAAGACAGAAAAAATTTTAAGTCAGAGACAAAATTAATGAAGTTGAGAATAAAAAAATACAAAGGATCAATGAACAAAAGTTGGTTCTTTGAAAGGATAAACAAGATTGATAAATCTTTAGCCAAACTAACCAAAATACAGAAGACTCAAATTAACAGAAGTACAGGTGAAAAAGGAAATATCACCAGAGACACTACTGAAATACAGAGAATCATTAGAAACTATTTTGAAAATTTACACTCCAATAATCTGGAAAATCTTTAAGATAATGACAAATTTCTATAGATATATGATTTACACAAATTGAATCATGAGGATATAAAAAACAGATCAATATCAAGTAATGAAATTGAAGCAGATATTAAAAGCCTTCCAACAAAGGAAAGCCCTGAACCAGATAGAGTCTCAGCCCAGTTTTACCAGACCTCTAAAAAAGAACTAATGCCAATCCTTCTCAAATTATTCCATGAAATAGAAAAGGAGGTAACATTGACAAATTCATTCTATGAAGCCAGTATTACCATGATACCAAAATCAAATAAACAAACAACAAGGAAAGAAAATTTCAGATCAACATCCTTGATGAAGAACACAGATGAAAATATTCTTAATAGAATATTGGCAAACCACATTCAAAAACACATTAAGAAGATAGTGCACCATGATCAAGTGGGTTTCATCCCAGTGATACAAGTTTGGTTCAACATATGGGAATCAATAAATGTAAATCACCACATAAATAAGAGTTGGGGACAAGAATTACAATAATCTCAACAGATGCAGAAAAAAGCATTTGAAAAAATCCAGCACTCATTCATGTTTAAAACACTAGAGAAACTAGGGATATAAAGAACTTGGCTCAACACTGCAAACACTATTTAAGACAAACCCAAGGACAATATCATACTGAACAGAAAAAAAAAATGAAAGCATTTCCTCTAAAATCAGGAGCAAGACAAGGATGTCTACTCTCACCACTCTTATTCAACACAGTTCTTGAAACTCTAGTCAGAGCAATGAGGCCAGAGAAGGAAAATAATGGGATACAAACTGGAAAAGAAGAAGTCAAATTATTTCTATTTGCTGATGACACGATCCTATATTTATAAGACCCTAAAAACTCCAAAAGACTTCTAGAGCTGATAAACAAATTTACCAAAGCAGAAGGATACAAGATCAATATACCTAAATCAATTGTTTTTCTATACTCCAATAATGAATATTATTTAAGAAATTTAGGAAAACTATCCACAATAACCTCAAATTTAAAAAAAATAGAAATAAATTTAACTGAGATGAAAGACCTCTACAATGAAAACTATAAAATACTTAAAGAAACTGAAGATGACCTTGAAAGATGTAAAGACCTTCCATGTTCTTGGATAGGCAAAATTAATAAATGGATATACTACCAAACTACCAAGTGTAATACAGATTCAATGCAATCCCTATCAAGATAACAATGATGTCATTCTTAAAAGATCAAGAAAAAACAGTTCTAAAATTCATTTGGAAAAATAAGAGACCCAGAATATCCAAAGCAATCTTAAGTAAGAAGAGCAATGCTAGAAGCATCACAACACCAGAGCTCAAATTATACTCAAGAGCTATAGTAACAAAAATAGCATAGTACTGGCACCAAAACAAATATGAAGATCAAATGAATAGAAGAAAAGACACAGAGAGAAACACACACACAGATACAGTCAACTGATACTTGAAAAAGGTGCCAAAAACATACATTATAGAAAAGATAGCCTAAAAACAAAAAGATAGCCTTTTAAACAAATAGTGCTCTGAAAACTAGATACCCATATGTAGAATGAAACTTGATCCCTAACTCTCACTCTGAAAAAAAGTCAACTCAAAATAGATCAAAGACCTAGGAAGTAAACCAGAAATTCTGCAACTGCTAGAATAAAATGTAGGCTCAACATTCCAACACATTGGCAACAAATAAAACAAAAAGTCAATAAGTAGGATGCCATTAAATTAAAAGTTTCTGCATAGTAAAGGAAACAAGAGCATGAAGAGAGAGACCAGAATGAGAGAAGATCTTTGCCACCTGCCCCTCGGGGAATTAACATACAAAATATATACAAGAACTCAAAAACCTGGACACCAAGAACAAAATCAAATAACACAATTAACAAATGGGCAAAAGAATTAAACAGATACTTATCAAAAAAAGAAATGCAAATGGCCAAGTATATGAAAAAATGTACAACACCTCTTGAATTTGCATATTAGGGATATGCAAATCAAAACTACATTAAGATTCCATCTCATTCCAGTCAGAATGGCAATTATCAAGAATACAAATAATAATAAATATTGGCTAGGATGTGGGAGAAAAGATACTCTCTCATACATTGTTGGTGGGACTGCAAATTAGTACAACCACTTGGAAAGCAGTATAGAGATGCTTCAAAAAACTAGGAATGGAACCACCATATCTAAAATCAACATACTATAAGAATGCAGCTACATCAATAATTATAGCAGTACAATTCATAAAGCCAAGCTATGCGAACAGTCTACGTGCCTGTTAACAGATGAATGGATAAAGAAAATGTGATACACACACACACACACACACACACACACACAATGGAGTTTTACTCAGACATAAAGAAGAACAAAATTATGGCACATGCTGGTAAATGGATGGAACTAGAGAATATTATGTTAAGTGAAATAAGCCAGAACAAGAAAGTCAAGAGTTGAATGTTTTCTCTCATATGTGGAAGCTAAACCAAAATAAGGGGGAAAAGAAAAGAAGGAAGAAAGGAAAAAGAAAGAAAAAGGGAGGTATAGAATTCCATGAAAGTAGAAGAGAGATCAGTGGAGTAGAGGAAAGGGACTGGGGGGGGGGGAGAAGGGATGGGAAAAGGGAAGAGTGGAATGAATCTGACCAAACTTTCTCATGTACATATATGAATATACCATAGTGAATCTCATAGGTATATGAAATACATATACCTTTTGTATATCCATAGTGTACTAATTTTAAAAAACTATAAATTATTTTAAAAAGTAAAATTAAAATAATAAAATCCTTGATAAAAACTTAAAGGAGTTTATCTATCTCATGAGAACAATAACCATACCAATATTTTTTTGAGGTGGGGCAGTTTACCAGGGATTGAACTCAGGGGCACTCAACCACTGAGCCACATCCCCAGCCCTATTTTGTATTTTATTTAGAGACAGGGTCTCACTGAGTTGCTTTGGTGCCTCGCTTATGCTGAAACTGGCTTTGAACTTGCAATCCTCCTATCTCAACCTCCCCCGCTGCTGGGCCAATATTTGTTTTCATTGTAAAACATCCAACTAAATATTTATGAAAAATTAACTGTTACCATTTTAGAAACTCAGATTGTGGAAAGAGCTCAGGTGGTGTGATGTCAGACCTAAGCCCTGCAGGGAAAGGTACAGAGGAGTAATACAACTCCACTTTTTTTTTTTTGAAAAACATTTATGTTTTTGAAGTAGTTGACACAATACCTTTATTTTATTTATTTTTATGAGGTGCTGAGGATCGAACCCAGGGCCTCGCACGTGCAAGATGAGCATTCTACCGCTGAGCCACAATCCCAGCCCTGCAACTCTACTTCTTAGAGCAACTGTAGAATTTAGGTGTCAATCACACCTTGCCTCATAGTTTCTGTTTCACTGCTGTAATTACTACTTGCTTTAGGTGCTCATCTACACCTCCTACAGTTTTGTTTTTTTCCTTTGTGCAATCTGGGGTCTGTTACAGCAGTGGTTCCAACTGTGGCTCTATACAGGAATTGTGTAGGGAGCTCTAAAACATACTGATGACTGGTTTCCAGCCCCAGAGAGTTTCATTTAATTAATCTGGGGTGCAGCCTGAACAAAAAGATTTTTCAAAGCTTCCCAGGTGACTCTAATGTGCAGCCAAGACTAAGAACTACTATATCATATCCTCCTTTGACCTTTTTACATATCCCTGAGGGCTTTGCTCCAGTTCTTCATGCTCACTTTCAGCCACAGGGAATAGAAAAGATGATAAATGATCATATATCCATAGTACCACTACAAGGAATACACAAAATCTCAGTCCAAAGACACCAGGGACATCTCATAGTCACAAACCTTACATTTTGCTTAACAGTCAAATCTAAGAACCATAAAGCCTTTTGTGGGGAAGAAAGAGGCCAAACACTCTTCATAATAACTTCAGGAGTCTTATAATCTTGGGAACACTAAAAGTGATTAATGCCAGCTGAATTAATTCAGGTGGTTGACAGGGCAGTGGAAATAGAATTAATTCCTGTTTCAGAACAGAACAGGCTTTAAAATTCCTAAGAAATCATTCTCCTACCTCTCGTTGCTGCTGGTTCAAATTATGTGAATTTCTCTGGCAAAGAGCAATTGTGTCTACCATGGTATCTTCAACATCCTTCAGTGAGGCAAGTTCTCTGGTATCTAGATTCAGAAAGAGTATAAACAGCACTTTAGGACGTGTTTCTGATAATCTCAGAGTTTCTGTGAAAAAAATGACATTCTCTTTCTTTTGCATAGCCTTAATTTTCCATTCTAAGGAATTCTATCATCCATAAGACCTAACACTGAGATTTAGTGATTAAAAGATCATTCTGGGCAATAGGAGTGTTCTATATAAATGTTTGACATTCAAAGTACACATAAAGTACACTGTACTTAGCATCTCGACATGCTTTGGTTATGGGAATCATCTGTTTGTGGATTAGTTAGTAGAAAGATTATCCTTCACACTTTCTGCTCTACCATCTTTTCCTGTCTTAAATGTAGGTGTTTCCCTAAGAGTCTGTCTTACATTCTTTTTTCTCATTTTTCAATGATTTCAGCCACTCCTGTGGTTTCAATTCTCAAGTTTTTGTTAATAAGTTTAAAGTATACACTTCAGCCTTCACTCCATTCATAAATTTTCAAATGACTCTAGGAAAAAATCTCCATGTCCTTCAAGCACTTTGAACTTTATATGTGCAAAGCCCATCTTATCTTCCTCATTTCAAATCTACTCCTCCCCCAACATTTTCAAAGTTAATGGAACCAGCATGATTAAGTTAACCAGTTTATAAATCTTCGTCATCTTTGATGCTTCCCTCTCCTTAATTCCACACATTCAAATAAAGTGTTTATTTTTATTGATTTTACTTCAGCACTTGCCCACGCCCACCACTGTTACCCTGGCAGCATGCATATCTGCTACTGCAACAGTCTCTTCACTGAACTTTTGACTTCCAAATATGGCCTCTTTCATTCCCTTTTATATTGTTACCAGGGTTTTCTTAAACACAAGTCCAAACATATTATTTCCTTCCATAAAAATTAAAGATCCTAATGCTTAGAAACAGAATATTAGTAAGATTCTGACCCTAGGTACTGTGTAAAGATTCCAACTTATCTTCTCACTCTCTGTGCCCTGGTGTCACAGATTATTTCTTAATCTCTGAGGTTAGAAGCCAGGCACTTCCATACTTGTGTCTTACTCTTGCCCTGCTTCATCTATTAAACCCCTAGTCCTCCTCTGACTTACTTTAAAGGTAATACACGTCTAACACTCAACTCTTGACTTGACTCATGGGTCACAAACAGTTCCCTGGTTTTCAACACTCCTTTGCTATCTTTGTGCATTTCATTTGACTTGTGTTAGAGTGTTAATTTGTATGCGTCTCCTTCTTGAGACCAATTATTCAAGGAAGGGACGGCTATGTTTTAGGCATCTGTCTGTAGCCTACAGGAACTAAGCACAATGTCTTGAAAGTAGCAAATGCTTCAAACTTTTAAGCATGTTGTCAAAATTGAATCTGAAAGCAGATGGCTATTACTGGACTGGTTACAAGACTATTACTGGAAAATTTATCCTTATAGGAGTTTTAAAAACTGGCTTCTCTAGATATACCACCTACAAATCATGGCAATTTGGAAGAAATATACTTCTTACTTTTCCCTCAATCTTTCATGTATTGTCTGAAATAATATTTTCAGAACATTAAATTTAAATAGAAAAATGTCATAAAATGCAATAAACCTAACAATGAAATAGACTGAACACACACTGACAATTCAAAAGTAATAATAATTAAATATCTAGTTGGATTATCATTATGGAAAAGTCAATCAAGTGCTTACTGAGGTTCCAAAAAGATTTAGTATAATTCAAGATGATCAAGATATAACAGAGACTACCATGCAATATTTAACCATCAAAAAATATAGATAATTTATCTACAAAGTTATGGTAAAGGGATTTTAGAGGAAGGGTCAAGGGGTGCAAAAAATATGTTGTGAAATAGGTAGAACAATCTAAGTCACTTATCAAGGGATTACTTGATCTTCAGGTGGGATATTTAAAAAATATCAAGGAAAGGAATGCAAACAACCTGACTCAAAAGTGGAACAGACATTTCTGCAAAACAGATATACAAATGGCCAAAAAGGTACATGAAAAGATGCTCAACATCACTAATCATTAAGAAATGCAAACTAAAAGATACCACCTCCCCCTCCCCCATTAAGATAACTTCCTATCAAAAAAAAACAAAAGTGTTGGTGAGATTACAGAAAATCTGTAACCCTTGTGCACTTTTGGTGGGAATATTAAATAGTGCAGTGGCTATGGAAAGTGGCATGGCAGTTCTTCAAAAATTAAAAATAGAATTACTACTTGATTTACCGATCCCACTTCTAGTTATATAGACACACACAAAAATGAAAGCAGGAACTTGAAAAGATATTTGAACAACCACGTTCATAGCAGCATTATTCACAATGGCCACATGAAAAAACAAAATGTGGTATATAAATACAATAGGATGGTACTCAGCTTAAAAAGGAAGAAAATTCTGACATGTTTGACAAAATTTACAAAATGTAAAAACATTATGCTAAATAAAATGAGCCAGTAACAAAAGAATACTGTATAGTTTCTTAGAGTAATCAAGTTCAGAAAAAAATAATGTTGGAAAAAGTAAGTAGAATGGCAGAAAATAGAATGGTGGTTGCCAGCAGTTGGGAGAGGGGAGAACGGGGAGTTACTGCTTAGTGGGGAGATTTTCAGCTTGGGGAGATGAAAAAGTTGGAGACAGATCATGGGGATGGTTTTATAACAAAGTGAATGTGTTTAATGCCACCAAATTGCACACTTAAAAACAGCAAATTTTGCGTTATACATACTTTACCACAACTTGAAAAAAAATGTTGAAATGTCAAAGAACATGATGAAATTTTCAACTATTTATGTTCAAACGCACTCAAGATTCCAAACTGTCAAGTTTTACTGCTTTGGGCTAAAATTGTACAAATTCAGTACAGAAACACTGGCTATTACTTACTGCTTGCAAGCTTTGATTTGCAGTTGTTTGGCACATGAACTTAATTTTTATGATATTATGTACCTCATTAATATAAAACCAAATTATAAGTACATAAATATAACTAAAAAGATAATCAACAGCAGTTGAACAGTGTCTATTTCTTGTATATTTAAATCTATTGACAATGAGTACCACCAAGGCACTTATAATATTTCCTATTATGATTACTTGAAAACTAGATAAATTTTGGATCCATGTTAAAGTAGATAAATAGTAATTATGCAGATGGACCAATATAATTATTACTTAACAAAGGCAATTCACTTTTAAATAATATTTTTTAAAATATGGAGGCTGTGGAGAAAAATAAATTATGAATCACATTCAAGAACTTACTTTTTTCACCTTGATGTGTTGTTATCTCTTGCAGTTTGCTTTGTAGTCTCTAAGAGGTAAAAAGAATACAGGCAGTAATAAGAACATTTTACATTTCATTCTACCACAAATCTGAATTAACATATTTTATAGGAAAGAAATAGCAAAGCTATAAGAATGGTCCCTTACTGTCATTCAGAAGTGAATACTTGTGCATATAGTTAGCAATATGGCAAGGGACCCAAAAGATCAAGTTATCACTTATTCTGTCCTTGTCTGCTTTTTTTTATAACACATCATTGCCACTGACATTCTTTGGGCATAGTAATGAGGATTAGGATTTATCCATGTTTAGGATTAGGGTATAAAAATTCATACTGGATTATGAGAAAAAGGGGTGGATTGGATGGATGGGAACACAAAGGAAATGACAAGTCTACTCCAGAGCATAAGGAACAGCCTTGGGTGTGATTTCTCCCAAATGTGCAGTCATAGTACCCACTGCTCTACTGAATTCTAGATCCTTAGACACCTTTAACTCATACTGCAAAGGCTTCTTAAAACCCTTTTGAGCTCAATCCCTAATATATCCCTTCTACTTCAAATTTGCTCCTTTTCTTGGGGTCCCTTCAAGATCCCAAATGACAGAATCTTAAATCACAGAATTTTAGCTTATAACTAGAATCATTATTCACTATTCTACCTYATTCATCTCATATCACAATCAGATGATCTATAAGTTCTCAAATCTAGGCCCTCTTCTTTCCATTACCCAGGTCAAGTGCTTGTTGACTCATATCTGTGCTACTGCAAGTATTCTCTGCTTTCAGTGTTTCCTCTCCCTTCTCTGCATCTCACCACCCCCACCTCCCACCTCTTCTCCCAGTCACCAAAGCAGTTTCTATAAAACAAAAAAGTAAGTTCCCTGCTTCACAATTCTTTAGTGTGTCCTATAAAGTCTGTTCAAACCTAGACCTAGACTTTGTTTCTGCCTATATATTGTATAGTTGAAATCTAGGTAAGTTGTGATCATTTTCCTAGTGGCCCACATTTTTTTTGTTGTTGTTGTTGTTCTTAAGGTTTTGCAAATGGTGGTAATGGTCCCCTGCCCAGTTCTCCTGCCTCTCCTTCCCCTATTCATGCCAAGAATACTTTTTAAATCTTTTATGAGTACTGAGGAGTGAACCCAGGGACACTTAACCACTCAGCCACATCCCCAGCTCTTTTTAATATTTTATTTAGAGACGGTCTCACTTAATTGCTTAGGAACTTGCTAAATTGCTGAGTCTGGCTTTGAAATCACAATCCTCCTGCCTCAGCTTCCTGAGTCACTGGGATTATAGGTATGTGCTACTGCACCTGCCCTGCTAGGAACACTTTTTACTTATTCGTTTATACTAACTATAGTGTCAACAAATAAATTACAAGGAAAAAAAAAGGAGATGTAATTTACAGATTAAAAGAAATCAAGAGACTATATTAAGCTTTTGAGGGGTGTTCTTCCTGGCATGTTGTAGAATCAAATAAACTAGGAGCCAACATGGGTCATTTTTTTGATATAAATAGGATCTCCTTATTATATTCCTAGCTGGATGAAAATATATTTTAAAAAATGAGGGAACTTTCTGGAGTGAAGATAATGTTCTCTATCTTGATAAAGACTTCAGTTAGACAAATGCATGCATTTGTCAAAAACTTATCAAATGGTACCCTTAAAAGTTGAATTTTCATTGTATATAAATATTATGTTTTTTGCAAAGTACCACAAAGAAATACTGAACTGCACTCAATGATATGCATGATTAAAATATTCAGGGGTAAAATATACTTTTGTCTGCAACATATCTTGAAACATAAGAAATTAAGATGGACTAATGAATGCATTGAGATAGAAAGAAATAGGACAAAACAAATGCAGCAAATGTTACCTCCAGCATTATTAGAAAGGCACCATGAATATCTCCTTTCTTTTCCAATAAATAAGCAGTGACTTCATGGAGTTGATACTTTTGAGTAATCTAGGAAAAAAGAAAAGATACATATTTTTATTCAAAAATCTTATTTGTGAAGTGGAAAGATCTATTAAAGATGGGGAAAAATCCACTATGATATATAAGACATGCAAACCTTGGTATATGCTGTTTCACAAATATTTGTGCAAATATTTGATTTTTGTGTCTTATAACGGTCCATTGGCTGTTTTAATTGGACCAAGTATATTCATTTTTTCACATTTATTTTAAAAAATTATTACACACATGCATAGTCACCAGAGAAAAACATATACATATAAATAATAATAATATAAACTAGAAATTTATCAAGTTTACTTCTAAACAAAATATTCAGAATGAAATGACTGTAAAAATACTATACACTAACTTATGGAATCCCCATAAAAATAAACTGAGAATATCTAATCAGCGAAAAAAGAAAGAAGTAGGGCTGGGGTTATGGCTCAGTAGAAGAGTACTTGCCTAGCACATGTGAGGCACTGGGTTTGATAAATAAAATAAAAGTATTGTGCCCATCTAAACAACTAAAACAACAACAACAATAACAACAACAAAATAAGCTAAGAAGATAAAAGAAAAATAAAAGAAAATGCCAGAAAGCAAAAAATAGAGAGGTTTAACAAACTCAGACTTAGCTTCTTTAAAAAGAGTAATAGGAAAAAAAAAATCTTCCTAGAAGAAAAAGGCAAGAATAATAAATTATCAGGTTAACAGATTAAAGAAGAAAAACATCTGAACATCTCAATAAATGTAAAAAAGCATTAGGTAAATATGCAGCACCCATTAATGACAAAAAAAAAAAAGACAAAATACCTGTACCCAAACTGGAAACAGAACTTTCTTAATAAAGGTTATCTATCAAAATCCTATAATAGAAAATGCATTTTTTAAAGCTGCATTTGATGTAAAGTATTAGATATAATCCCTTTTAAATTAGGACAAGGTTAAAAGATATACTATCACTGCTTCTACTCAACAATATCATTGAGCTCCTATATATCTGATAAGAGAAAGAAAAAAGTGTAAGACAGGAATGAGAATAACAAAACTGCCATTCCTCTTAAATAATAATATTGTTATAAAATATCTAGAAACTATTTGAACTAAAAAAATTCAGTCTGACTGCTATGTGTAATATAAGGCACAAAATTAGTCACATTGTAATACTATAGTAGCAAACAATAAAAAATGTCATTTAAAAAAATTTCCTTGTATCATGTTAATAAAAGCTATAAAGCATCTAGGAATAATTTAACAAGACATGTATAAGGACCTTATGTAAAAGTTATGAAACCTCACCAAAAGGTAAAAGAGGCATTTTAAAAAGACAACTACATGGCTTAAATGTAAAAAATTAGTACTATAGAGATGTTAATTCTCTAAATTAATCTATAAATTCAGTATATTTTTAAATCAAAATTCCAGAAGGATATTTTTTAAAAAGGAACTTGATAAGGTGATCGCTATTTTGATGTGGAATAGTAAGAAACCAAAAGTAGCCAAAGTATTTTAAAGAAAAAGAATAGGAGGCAAAAATCCTTTTCCAAATAATAAGCCTTATTATAAAGTTATATAAACTAAAATATGTTGGTATAGGTACAAGGAATGACAAAGGACCAAAGGAACAGAAGAAAACTCAAGAGATTCATGCACATTTGACAGTTTGCTATCTAGCAGTATGGCTTTGGAAATCACGAGGAAAGGTTCATAAAATGCCACATGAACCATTAGCCATCATGTGGGGAGAATAAGAGAGAAACCTCTCTCTTGATCAGCCTACAAAAATATATTTCAGATGGATTTAAAGCCTAAAATGTAAGAATCTAAATTATAAAACTTAAATTAGTGCCATTGAAATAGGAATGGATATAAGATACATACACACAAATGTAAACCTTAAAGGAGATGGATAAATCAAAATGGAAGTCACTAAAAAACAAGTTAAAAGATGTGCTACAACAGATTAGAAGAAGACATCTCCAACACATAAAATTATCAAATCCGTGATCCAGAAATTAGAAAGAACCTCTAGAAGTGAGTAAGAGTAAAAAACTCAATAGAAAAATAAATAAATAAGATGACTTAAGAATCATAAATATATTGCAAGATATCCAATATCATAAGTAATCAATAATCTCCATCACTCTGGCAAAAATTAAGAAGTCTATAAGTATTAGGAATGTTCAAGGATGTGAGAAAATAGCAAATGTCAAACAGTGCTGATAAGAACAAAAATAGGAAATCAGCTGGGCAATATCAGTAGAATTAAGCCATCTATTATCTAAACAATCCCCTTTCCATGAATAGTACTTTGAAAAATCTCACATGGGTACAAGAAGACATGTAAAGGATATGCACTGTGGCTCTGTTCATACTAGTAAAAAAATTTTAAAAATCCTAAATATCTATCAACAGAGAAATAAACTGGTATATTCACTTCATAGATCATGACCATTAAGATAAATGAAGTACATCTGCATGTATATGAGTTAATTTTTAAAAAGTGAAAAAAAATTGCAATAGGATTTGCACTATGGATGACACTGTTAGTATATATTTTAAAAACATATAAAACTGTACCATGTATTTTATAGGCACATACATATATAGGGGAAAGATGAAAATCATGGACTGAAAGGATAAACACCACCTTTAGGCTAGTGATGACCTCAGAAGAGAAGAGGGAAAGGGACAAAAGGTGCTTCCTTTTTTAAAAAAAATGTTTTATTAGTGTTTTATAGTTTATACATAATAATGGGGCCATTTTGATATATTTATAAATGCATATAACAGGGCTTTCTCCATTCTAACTAGGGTGAAATGAAATCCCCATGTAGTTTTTTTTTTTCCTCATTCCCTCCCCTCTTCCCTGTCCCTTCTTCCCTTCCACTGCTATACTGGTCTTCCCTCTATTTATTTAATGTTTTTCTTAATTGGTCCTTTATAGACATACACAAAAGTAAAATTCACTATGGTATATTCATATATGTACATAGCAAATTTTTTCAATTTCATTCTACAGTTCCTCCCTTTTACTATTATTCTACCCTCCCCCTAAATCCCTTTCCTCTACTCTATTTTTGTGGGATCTGCTCCCCCCMCACACACACACACTTTCCCCATTACATTACACTAGCTTTGCATCTCCCTGATTGCTAAGGATATTAATCATTTTTTCATATATTTGTTGGCCATCTGTATTTCTTCTTTTGAGAAATATCTATTTAAATCTTTTGCCTATTTATTGAGTAGGTTATTAGTTTTTTTGGTGTTTGAGTTCTTTCTATTCTGGTTATTAATTCCCTGTGGGAAGATAGCTGGCAAAGGTTTTTTTATAAGACTCCTAAAGCTCAAGAAATAAAACCAAGAATCAATAAGTGGGATGGCACTAAATTAAAAAGCTTCTGTACAGCAAAGGAAAAAAGAATGTGAAGAGAAAGCCTAAAGAATGAGAGAAAATCTTTGCCAGCTACCCTTTGCTTTATTTTTAGAATAAACAAGACAACAAAGATCTGAAGCCAGCCTGACAAAATGTTAAAAAAATATAAAATTAAGTTAGTGGATATATACATATTTGATATTTTGCACATTTCTAAATATTTGAAACATTTTATAAATATTTTTTAAAAGTATGTGGGCAGTTCAGGAGATAATGCAGAAAATAGAAGTTTCTGTTGATAGCAAGAGAAAAGAGATGCTAGCTGGGCATGCTGGCACACTTCTGTAATCGCAGTGGCTGGGGAGGCTGAGGCAGGAGGATCTCAAGTTCAAAGCCAACCTAGCAACTTAGTGAGGCCCTAAGCAACTCAGCGAGACCCTGTCTCTAAATAAAATGCCCAAAAAGGTAGGAATGTGGCTCAGTGGTTAAATGCCCCTGGGTTCAATCCTCAGTACCCTGCCCCACAAAAAAAAAAAAAAAAAAAAAAAAGAAAGAAAAAAAAAAGGGAGGAAGAAAGAGAGAGAGGCTATTTTGTAATAACTTTCAAATGGGGAACACCTCTAATGTTGTAATATTGCATTGATCTGTGTGTGGGTACAAATGCATGTGCACGCATGTGCACACACACACACACACACACTCATTTGGAAACAGTAGAAAATATGGAAAGTGAATCAAGACAATAAAGAGTTAAAGCTACTGGATTGCTATTTAGCCTATTCAGTTTTATGGTTCAACATGACTGTCTCATCATCACAATCTGAATACAACACCTTGGTCTTTTCCTTTCAATATTTAGTACTGAGTCCTTTTTATAGGCTTACTGTGTTAGCCAGAATTTCTATAAAGCCGGATTCAAAACAGGGATGAACACACGTTGTTTCTGATTTTAACAGAATGAATAGGAAAGCAGTTCATCACAATTATTGCATGCAAGGGGTTAGACTACCCAGGTTCAACTTCAGGCACTACCACTTACTAGCTCTCAGCTTCTATAATAACTTCATATTTGAGTTTCCCTTTGCTTGCCTGGAAAATAGAAAAGTTGACTCCTGTCTGTTGTATGCTGTTGGCATGTACAAAACTTACCTGAATAGTTTCTTCTAGGCGGTAGCACTCAAGGACTTGCAGTGTCTCTATGACTTGGTTTGGGTTGAACTGACACAAAAGCTCAATAAACTGCTCTGTAATACAGGGAGATATTTGTAGCAATTCTTGATTTACATGAATACCTTCCCTGAAAACAAAAGGCAAGAGAGTACTAAATTTAGCATTACTTAATTGCACTTTATAATTAAAGGATACAGGCAAAAAGTGTTTTAAGTTGAAACCAAGACTTCCTTCTGGTCAGGTAAAAATATGGATTCAAAGTCTCAATGTAACTAGCATTATCTGGATAAACTATACAGTACATTAGAGACACGCTAAATAGAAATATTTCTCAGTTTATACTGAATAATTAAGTAAAAGAATTCAGTTTTAAGTCATACCAAAAGTTATACTTTGATCTAAAAGAAAGAGACTCCAGTCAGTCTAAACAATTTGACCCATGAGTAACTTAAGTCTCACCAACTGTCATTACTATCTTTCTCTCACACTACCAATCCCACCATGTTGTATTACTTCTTTATCTATTTTCTCTAAGGCAACAAATTCTATGAGGGCAGGCATCTTGTAGCTTCTCACTTATGAATTTTCAAAGTCAATCAGTGCCTAGCATATAGTAAGGGCTAATGTTCTTGTTTACTGTTAAAAGTGAGGTATAATAGGTATACCATATTTATAGGCTAATTTGCCTTGTATTCCAACTATTCACAAAGCACTATTCATAAGGCTTACCCCAAGCTTTGGTAGTAGTAGTTTACCATGCAAGGCACTCAACTCCTGGTGGTCAAAAGGAACTATTCAGGAAATTAGCTTCTGCTCATTGGATATCTAAGAATTTTCTTTCTAGCTTCAAAAGAAGTCAGTTCTGGGAATAGGGTTGTGGCTCAGCGGTAGAGTGCTCGCCATGCACATGCGAGGCCTGGTTTCGATCCTCAGTACCAAATAAAAATAAATAAATAAAATAAGGGTACTATGTCCAACTACAACTATATATATATATGTTATATATGTCAGTTCCTTCTTAGAGTTCTATCTTCTCTTCAGAATTCCTAAACCAAAGCTCCATATGTAAAGAAATGGAATAGGATTAATAAGAAAAAAATGAATGCAAGGGAAACAAGACTTCTGAAAAAAAGACAGTTGTTGTCTAAAGCAGTAGTTTCCAGCTTTTCTCATATCATGACATATAGAAAATGTTGACATTGTACGGCTCATACAAGTGAAATAGGATTACTCATAGGGTACTCCCAGGGGACCCTCTGTCTTGGGAGCTGAGGTTTCAGTCTCTAAACACACTTGCAATTGTCACAATGTGGGAATCTCTGCATTCCAGAGAAAATGATCTGGATTTGATAAGTGTTCTATAAATGATGGTAAGCAGCACTCTTCTTATTACTAATAAGAGGCTTGAGTTACAGAAAGAGGGGTTACATTCAGACATAGGGAATCTTTTCCTAACTTATTAGCTCAGTGATAGTCAGTCTTGATCAGAAGTCAGAGATGAACTTTCTGCTGCTTGAGGCTTTCAATTCTTGCTGAGGGGGTGGTGGACAGCAGACTATGCTCTGCTCTGAGTTATTCCATGTTGTTTAGAACAGTACCTTTCAGGCTGTGCCCTGCTCTACATTACTCCATTTTATAAAGCAGCAGTTTGCCCTGAGTTACTTCATTTTGACTACAAGTGCTAAGGCAGAATGACTTGGTAACTCATCTAGGCAAATACACAGAATAACTTCAGCTGCATAGCATAAGAACAACTGATAAATAAATTAACTGTGCTACTAAAAATTACCAAACGGACACAGATGCATAATTGTATCAACTCCACATCAGGGAAACCAGGCCTATACGTCCAATCACTGGACACACCATACCACCAAATGATGCTGAGATAGATAAGAATTTTGGGATACAGAGAAAAATACTGAGTCTCAAAAGAGAAGCACTCATGAACCACTGCAATGCAAAACAATCAACTCCTGAGCAACCAGCTCATACTTGGCTCATGCCCTTGCCCACAAAAGTAACATGATGAGAGGGTAATGTGAAAGTGTAGGGGAAACTGGCACAAAATTGTGTAACTGCACCCTAAGTCCACCTCTAGTTCAGCTTCTAGCTACTGTCCCTCTATCAATATTAACATCCCAGACCAAGGGATTGCAGCTTGTCACAGTTGAGATGGACTGCTTTCTCCCTGAATGTATTCCTTGCTTTACCACAAAGGCTTCTCAATTTCAAAATAGCTCATACTAGCCCTTGAATGTGTCTCTGCTTTCAAATAAATCTGTGCCTCTAACTGGCATGTCCTTAAATGATTTTTTTTTTTTTTTTAGTACTAGAGATTGAACCCAGTGGCACTTAACCACTAAGCCACAACCCCAAACTCCTTTCTGTTTTTTATTTAGAGACAGTTGTCTCGCTGAGTTGCTTAGGACCTCGATAAGTTGCTGAGACTGGCTTTGAACTTGCGATCCCCCAGCTTCAGGCTCCTGACTGCTGGGATTACAGGCATGCACCACTGCGCCCAGCTCTTAAATTTATTTCTGCAATGTCTGTCAAGAATTCCACTTGTCCTGAGTTGAGGTCCCTGCCCCCTATCACGGTGGAACTCCCCAGATCACTTCTGGTGCAACCCCCTCATTTGAAATACATAAAAGGAGAGACATCTAAGAGAGCGGTACAGCATCACACAACAACTTGTCATCAGACCATTTGGTGAACACATCCTGAGTGACAGGTCAGGAACTCCTGACTCTGTCCTAGTAGCTTTAGCTCAGCTCCATAGCCATGCTTGATGTGGCCCACTTTGAAACTGCCTGCTGCCCGGGCACTCACCTTGAACAAATTCTGAACTCTGGACAGTTCCTCACCTGGAACAAGTTCTGTGGCTGGAACCCGGAATCATATCTGACCATGTACAGATGACTGTTTACATTTGTGTCTGCTCTCTGCCTTTGCTCCTAGTAGGGCTTATTGAAACCCTGTGCTTGCTTAACTTTTTCAGTCTTTCTGTAACCTATATATTTTTGTGTAAAGTGTGATGTGACTTGAATGTTGTAGATATTAATAATTAAGATTGGAATGAAATAAAAGAACTTTTGAATGCCCTGCTCACAGCTATCAAGGGAACCATGAAAACTCAGTGAATTAAAGCCAATAAAATTGATGTAGCCTGTGAATTTATTGTTATTCTATAAATTCTGACATTGTGGAAAGACACAAACTTATCTGGTCTACTTTAATGTCATAGATTGCTCATGATATAGGCAAATTCAGTATTTCCAAAGTTGACTATAAATTCCAAAGATCAAGTTTTCAGTTGAAAAAAAAATTTGTTGTTGTTGTATCTCAACAACTGCCTTTCATATAGAATTTTTTTTAAGTGACTGACTATTCTCTACCTTTTTGGGGGGTGGTGGTGGTACGGGAGATTGAACCCATCAACATTCTACCATTGAGCTACATTCCCATTCCCTTTTTATTTTTTCTTTTGAGACAGGGTCTCACCAAATTGCTGAGGCTCATCTTGAACTTGCGATCYTCTGAGCTGCTGGGATTACAGGTATGCATCACTGCACCCAGCAGTGCCTAGCTATTCTCTCTATATATCATCACCTAAATTCTTACCATATAACTTGAAAATTATCTGTTTAAGTGCTTGTGTCCCCAACTATACTATCAGCTCCATAAAAGCAATGACCATGCTGCATTCATTATTATTTCCTCAGCATTAGCACAGCATTCCCCAGCATCTTGGCATATATAAGTGCTCAGAAAATGCATGTAAATGTAACTAAACTGACAGGAAATAGTGCACTGGACTGCCTTCCAAACAGAGGGAAACAACAGAGGGGTGAGAATTACAGGGACTAAGGCTACTAGCTCCACAGACAGCTAGGAACAAATTCTATTAGGAAACTCTAGATGAAGAAATTTTCTAAAAGACACACATGATAAATCTAGTTCTTTATGATGTGGGACTGTGATGTTGTTGCATAATAAGAAATACATACTTGGTCTCTGTCCTTGGTTTTGAGCACACAGAAGTTAAAACCTTTGGGAACTCCAAAGTAGTAAGTATCTTTTTTTTTTTTACGCTAATGAGATGATTGGTGGCTACAGACTCCAGGATAGCCTCTGGATAGGGGTCTAGTTGCCAGGGGAACAAACCATGTGGTCAGAGGTTGGAACTTTCAGTTATACTACCCATCCATCTCTGGGGAGACAGAGGAGTTCAAAGTTGCATGTATCAACAATGGCCAATGAGTTAATCAATCATGCCTACATAATAAAGCATCCATAAGAACCCAAAAGGGAGGGGTTTGGAGTGCTTCCAGACTGCTGAGTATGTGGAGATTCTTGTAGTAGTGAGAAGTCCTGGAAACTCTTGCATCTTCCCACATGCCCTACCCTGTGCATCTCTTCCACCTCACTTTGCTTTTGTATCCTTTGTAATATTCTTCCTAATAAACTGGACATGTTAAGTGTCTTCCTGAGTTCTGTGAGTCCTCCTAGTAAATTAATCAAGTAAGGGGTCATGGGAATCCCAATTTATAGCCAGACAGTCAGAAGCACAAGTAACAATCTAGGCCTTGTGATCAGCATCTGAAGTGAGAGCAGTTTCGTGAACTGAGTCTTTAACCCCAGGAATATGACACTAACCACAGCAGACAATGGAAAATTGAGTTAAACTGAAGTTGGTGTCCAACTGCTTGCTTTATATGTGAAGGAACCTCCCCAATATGTTTTCATGACAAAGTAATTTGTTTTTTTCTTATATCTTCTTGGAGTGACATGTTTGTGTACCAAAAATGCTATTAGGCAGAAGAAAACAAGAATGTTAACCAATGTGTCTCCACATTTGGGTAAGCCAGCATACTTTCCAGATGTTTGTGTCAAACTGGTGGTGTTATTAGTATTTTATCTATATCAGATTTCTGTTAATATGTCTTATAAATGCAAGACTATGGAGCAAATTAAGATTAGACATAAGCACCTGCTGATGAATCACAGTACTTAATTCTTCTCAGAACATTTATTGACAAAACCATTTATAAAAGCAGAAGATGTGGATATGCATCAAACCAAGCAAATCATTCTAATGAATAGATTTTGATGCATTCACTTATG